AAATGAAGTAGAAGTATGTTAATGAATAAAAATGAAAAGCAAAACAATGTTAATGGAAAAAAAACTTTGTAGAATGATGGGAATGAAAAAAATTTTAAGAACTTTCATTGCCTAAAACCATTTGAGAATAAAAGTGACAAAAGTAAAAGAAATAGGATCCCCTAAAACGAAACTTTTACATAAATTTTGCATAAAATCATAACCCACAAAATAAAAGTGACCCACAAATATGGTAAATTACCGACTAGAATAAGTTGATCTTCCATTTCACTGACAAGAAGCACGTCAGTAACTAGAATAAAAGGCTGCAACTCCTGCCACAACCAGTCGGATTCACAGGGGAAAGTTAAGTTTGCAAAATTACTAACAAGAAGCACTTCGGTAATTTCTGTTCTGGTTCGCCAGTTGCTGGACTCAATATTGCATGATATTATCGACAAACAACACGTGTGCATTGTTTTAATTCACCGACAAATATCTCGTCTGACCCAGGCCTAACCCATAAATAACATATATTACTCTTAATTTAACTATTCCTAGAGTTTTAGACATGTTGCTTGTCGGTAAACTTTCAATTCACCGAAGAAAATTGTTAGGTCGGTGATTGTAGGTCGGTGAAGTTGAGTTTTCTAATAGTGATAGTTGCTAACAACACAAGACAATTCACACCGAAGGCAAGAAAACCTTGCAGCTAGAATGGATACCATGTTATATGTAGTTTTAGACTACCTTTATGGTATTTTTGTTAGCTTGTAATTTAGCTTGGTGATTGATTATTACTATAAGTTTATGTTTTCCAATTGGTTCATATATATATATATGTGGAAAATGTATTTTGTAAGATTATTTTTTAATAGATATCTCAAAGTTAAAATATTATATTTTAATTAATAATTTTAAATATAGTATAAACTGTACTTGTAATCATTGAAAAACAATATTATAGCTGTGAAAGCTTGCCAAGCCTAATTTCTTTTGCCAGGGAAGAGGCATGAAATTGAACTTTAAATTCCATAAAGGTTCCCATTCAATCAGGAAGAATCGAGGTAAAGAAATCCAATTTCCTAACTTTTCCATTTCCACGTTGAAAAAAATAGAAAACTATTTGGAAGAGAATCTATTTTTCTATCTTAATCGTAAAATAAAAACATAATTTTTTTAAATTTTTATTTCGCTTTGCTCATATATCAAACTATTTAGAGTTAAAATGTTTAATTTTAAAAAAAATTATTAATGTTTAGGTCGTTGGCGTGGGAGAACCGATTTCTAATAAAGAAACACTGGTGGGGACGTGCCTTTAACGCTTAGACCTACATATCTAAAATGTGGTTGTAAATTATCATCTGAATCAGTGGATGGAATAATTTTCAACAAACTGACGTGCGTAAAGTGGCCAACTTTTAAAGGCAAAATATTGTAAAAAATTGGCAGATTATTTGAAATTGCACTGATGGGACTAAAGAAGGTGAGACTGATGGTCACATTACATATATGTACAAGCTTCTTAAACTGCCTTTTGTCAACTTCTCCTCTTTTTCCTCTCATCATGTTTCCCATTGTTAAAAGCACCCATGTCTCATTGTCTAAGAATAAATAAACAAGGGATTGAGGACAAAAATTATGAACGAACATATATAGTGCCAAGGATTTGAATAGGACAGAGATCTAAACCCTTGAGATGATAGGGAAAAGGCAATGGATAATGGAGGAGAGAGAAACATTCTTCATGAATTATATTTTTTAACCCACTTGAGACGTAAGTCTTCATAATTAACCTCTACGTATTTTAATATTAATTGTTTACTATTTAATTTCATTTGTTTAATAACATAAGTATTTTCAATTTAATCGTTTTATTCTTAGGCAACATACAAAACTTTATCTTTAATTAGAAAGATGTGATTAATTAGAAATATTTGTACTTAGATTCAAATGATAATAGAAGAATAAAAAATGTGTTAATTTCTAAATATAATTTGTATCCATTCTTAATATTTGAGTTAATATTAATAAATTATTAGTTTATTGTTGAAGAAAGTATGGATTCTAATTAACCATGCATGCCTATTAAATTAGAGAGAAAATTGTCTTAATCATTTGGTGGGAGAGGACAATTAGACATGCATGTATCGCAAAATATTCAATTTGTATGTCCTTTCTTTATCAACTGCTACTGTGATCATGATTCTATACAGCTTGGTCAGAGATGAGCTGGAAGACATGACATGCAGCGACATGTAACTTCTAAATGTTAGATTGTAATATTGTATCTTAAGCAATATGTTAAATATATAAACTAGTCTCTAAACTATTATACAGACCTTTAATTTAGTCCCTAAACTAAAAATCTCTTATAATATTGCACCTACTTTTGTAGAAGCAGAGAAGAAGAAAGAGAAAGAAGAACACATGGGTTTTGGATTCTACTAGAGTTGGGATTGGAGAGGAATAAGAAAGAATTAGGACAACAGAGAGGAGATAGAAGTAAGGGTAAATAAGGAAATATATTATTAATTACTAAATAAATATAAGTTAATTGTAAACTTGTAACAAAATTTATGTAATTAAAAAAAACCTTTAATGCTAACGTGGTTTAAAATTTTGATCAACATCATTTTAATAGCATGGTTTTTCCATGTAATTAAAATGAAGAAAATAAATAAGCTTTTTCTATTAATTAATGTGCTACCTGTGAAAAAAACTTAATAAAGGGCAAAAAAGAACCAAAAATTTAATTTTAAGGGACTAAAAAAAGGGATTTTTTAAGTTGTGAAGCCAAATCAACAATCTACAAAAGTTGAGGGACCATTTATAGGTTTAACCTACGTAATAACCAACAACCAATATTGATTAAATTTAGCATTTTTTTATAGTATTGCAAATAAGTCGTCTTTCATGTACAAAAAATAATAATAATAACTCGTATTTCCTTGATTTCTTCCACCTACTTTGCAATTACTTTTTAACTATGTTTTCAAATAAGTTGAGTCTTTCCTTCAAAGCTTTTCACCTAGATTCAACATGTACGTTATTAGGTTCCAACCGCCTAGGAAAAAAAAAAAAACGGGCCTAGTGATTATGACTTCCTTCAAATTAAAATGAAGATTTAAATTTGAGTTATATTATATATATATAGGGAAGATGTACTGAAAAATAAAAGAATGTTGATTTATATTACACAACTTTAAATCAAAAATAAAAAATAAAAAACACATTGAATACACCAAAAAATATATTTTATAGGGTAGACTACACATTAAAAGTGTATTTTACCCTATAAATTTATTAAAATATTTTTAATAAAATTATTTCTTATCTTATTTTATTAAGAGTATTGTAATAAATTTATAAAATAGATTATACTTTTAAT